ATGTACACATGCACGCCAACACATCAGAGCAGACATTGGCTGTGGGGTGGTTGCACTGACGTGTGTCTCACATGAATCAATCACACAACCCAATGTGTGTGTGTGTGTGTGCAGGCGGACGTTGTGTGGGTTTCCCCAACCGAATCCCCTTCCTTCTTTTCCCAACCAATCGCCTCTGCTCTGTGTCATCATCTTCATCAGCCTTCCCCATGTGATGTGGAGCTGTTGAGGCGTGATCGAGACAGCGGCCAACACAGGTATTGCAGCAGTGGTGGATATGGTGGATGTGGTGATGTTTTGTGCCTGCCTGCTTGCTTGCTTGTTGGATGCTTGCTTCGTTGTTCTTGTGTGTAGGTGATGCACCCCGCCCACAACATGCTGCATATTCCCATGCGTGGTCCCTTGTGTCCCTCCTTTCGTGTTCTCACCATCACCGGTCGTTGTTGTTCGTCTCTGGTTGGTTTCTCCTTGCCTCACAGGCACGCAGGCAGACATGCAAGCTTGTGCTGGTGCTGCTGGTGCTGCTGTGATGATGGCCGTGCGTGTGCATGTGCGCTGTGCGCCGTGTTTGGGGCTGCACCGATGAAGACAAGGAAGGACACGGCCCGTGCCCACCACTCTTCCCCCTTCATCTCCTCTTTCTGCTCCATCAGCGATGACGATGGTGGCCGTGGCATGTGATTGCGGTTCCCTTTTGTTCTGGCTTCGCTGTGGCACGTTGTCTGGCTGGCTGGCTGCATCAAGCACAGGTGAGGATGATCGTTGATGGTTGGTTGGTTGGTGGTGGGCTGAGTTGTGTTGAGTGGTGGGAACCAGGGGGAGGAGGGAAGTGACACGGTGATGGTGGTGGTGGTGCGACGTGGGAGTGCAGAGCGAGAGGGAGATGGAAGGGAAGTGATGGAGGGTGATGATGTTGGTCGGGGGATGGGGGTGCGTGTACACATACATGCACGTGATATCGTGTGGTGGTAATATCACATGACAATGACGCACACATCAGTGGCTCATTCCTTTTGCTTGTACCTGTGATTGTGATTGCGTGTGATTGTGATGATGACTGCAGCAGGCAACACACGGCGGTGATGCTGGATTGGATTGGCTGGGGTTGACTGGCCGTTGTGTCGTGTCGCCCATTTCTCTCTCCCTCCGTTACTCAGCTCAACTGGGAACACGGCAATGTGTGCGTTTGTGCGTGTACATGTGTGTGCATCGCCATCAACCACGCCGACAGCGATACGATGCACGAGGTGAGGGCACGCAATGCTGTGCGTGTTTGGTGGAAGGGGGTTGAGGGAAGTGGTGGGAAGGCGTTCATCATGGCCATCATCACCACCACGGCTGTGTATCTGGCCATGTGACCGTGCATTTGGGAGGATGGAGATGGGGAGAGGGATGTTGTCGTTGGTTGTCGTTGTGGTGGTTGTGTATGCATTGCTGTGCATGCGTGTGCATGGTGCACCGTCTCACTCTACAATGCCATGTGTGACTGTGTGTGTGTGACTGCAGATGTGCGTGCGCGTGTGCGCATATATCAGGCAGATGTGTTGATCGACGACGAGGTGAGTGTGTGTGTGTGTGATTGTGGTTGACCTTTGTGTGCTTGTGCCATCACAACTACACAAAACAACAAGCACATCATCATCATCATTCCACCCCATATGTTGTTGTGTTGTCGACTCACGCATGGCATGCTCACATCACCCCTTCCCCTTGCTTCTCTCTCTCTCTCTCTGCTGCTGCACCC